GCCCAGGGCTGCATTGCACATGCATAGTTGCATTGCACATGCGTATTTGCATTGCACACACAAGGCTGCATTGCACATGCACGTTTGCATTGCACATATGGGGCTGCTTTTCACATGTGGGGTTGCACTGCGTGCACAGAAAACACCCTTTGTCCCGAGGTGCTTTGGGTGGGCACCCAGACGGGGTACCCCCCGGGGAAATTGCTCAGCACCTTGCAAGCCAGGGCCCTTAAATCTTCACCAAGGCCAAATACTTGAGCGCCCGCTTCACCCGGAGCACGTGGGGGGATCATGGGTCGTGCACGGGGCCAATGTGGACCATTTTGTGTGTTCCCGCAGGCTGCTGGGAGGCGGGGGCTCGGCCGAGCGCGGCACGGTGAGCAGCGTTAGGTGTCACACCTCCACCGCTCGCTCTCAGTTTTTCCCATGCCCAAATTCTCCCGGCTGGGATGCGGTACCGGATCCTGTTTGCAAGCCCCGCTGGTGCCAGCCTCTGCTCCCCTCCCTCGGAGCACCTTGCGCTGGGAAGAGGTGCTCGTGGCAGCGTGCTGAGCCCCCGCTGCAAACCCCACAAACAGCACAAGCGCGTGACACGCCATGTGCAAAGGCCCGGAGAAAATCCTTTCGTTTTGGGCCGGTTTACGTTTTGGAAGTAGCAATTTCCAAGCAAGTTTATTTTGCATGAGAAATTCAAATTTGCCCATCTCTTTTATTTCAAGAGGGGGGAGGAAAACCAGTAAAACTGCTGTAAGCTTTTCCTCTGGAGACTTTTGGCCATCGTTAAGTGGTGACATGAAATGCACTCGGTTGTTGCTGCACCGGACACGGGCTTTCGTATCCTTCTGCAGGCAGAAACGGGAGAGGAACCCTTATTAAAAGATTAAGTTTAATAGCTATTCTTGGCGGGTGCGGGAGCCTGTATTCTTTCTGCAGCTGTCTCAGAGCTGTCCCATCTGGTAAAATCCTTGGTTCGTTTCGCCTGCCTGAGCGTCGACCCGACGGAGGGAGGTTGGCAGCCGCAACGCCGCGCTGCTTCTTTCTAATAAAACTCGCTTGCCAGGATCAACATCGGAGATGGTCGCAGTAATCAGCGCAGCGCTGGCGGCTGGGCTGGGCTCGAGCTTCCTCGCTTTAGCTGCGCCCAAAAAGGCCGCCCGCGCCGGAGGTATAGGAGGGGGATAAATCACCGCCGTATAAAGCGCCTTTAATTAGCTCCCGTGCGCATGCGGGGGAGCCCTGTTGGCATCAGCCGCATTCGTCTGGGAAAGCCTTAACGTGAAAGTCGGCCG